CAAACTGAGCAAGGCTAATGTTATGGATAGTAGAAAACTGACTGATAGATATATGTATATATGAACACGGTATTCTTAAGTAGATATCCAAGAACATAATTACCATTAGACAGTGACCACAAGATCATTAAAATGATTAAAATCTATCATGTGCTTTCATCGTTAAGAGATACTCCTTTACATACATACGTATAATATATCTATTATTATTGTTATCTATATTTTGTAATAGTATTATTGTTTTTTCCTTTGTAGTTTAACCTTTAAGTGTATATTGTGTGTTTATTAAAAAATATATAAACTTATATAAGAAAATTAGTTATGAAGTATGGTAGCTTAACCTTTATAACACTAACTAACATGGAGACCAGAGATATTTACTGTGAACCAATAAGTATTGAAAATATGTATTTTTTATAAGCATCTGTACTTTTTGTTGAATAAATTATTATTATTATACATATTACCTATATGAGAATTCATAATATAAACGTTAAAAACAGCACACTTTTTTACACTCATGTAATAAAGTTATTATAGAAAAATTTCAAGAAGCAACAATTAAATTAAATTAGACCGTAACATTAAAACATCGATATAAAAAACCCAAGATTCACGATCGAACACTAAATAAAATAATGTCGAAAATAAAGCGCATTCAGCCAAATTACATAGTAATTTATAATAATTTTGTGAAAATTAAAAGTAAAATAAAACTTTCTGTGAATCGCTTCAAATTGTTTGTTTACTTTCAAGTTGGATAAAAACGTCGAGACAAACACGAAGTTTTATACTAAAGATAAAATAATGAATGTCTCTCATTTCCTTTACTACAATAATTATTAATTTCATTAATTCTTTTAATCTTATCGAAATATTTTTCGATATGACTTTTGTATTGGAATCTATAGTTGTTTTTCATATCTATGTATATTGATTGTCTAAGATAAATATTCGAATACACACAAATCAAAATTTACCGTTAAAAATAGCCGTGAAATTTCTCCCATTCTTTCGATTTCCGTTTAAATTAGTTAATACAAAACCGGTTTATAGAATCTACATGGAATCGAAACTAAACGATTTCTAACATCACTGCTCTCAATTATAAACGCTACTTTTGACATATCATATAAAGTAACTAATGAAATTTGTTATTATTTACTTACATGGGTTGTATTTTTTTTTTTATTATTACTTTTAGGAGAATTCAATTTAGGAACTGTAATGTTCTGAGACTGGGTTTCGAATGTTTTTTTTTTTATATCTCAAAGTTAGCAAACAAGCATACACCCCGTCTGATGATAAACAGTCAATGTAGCCTAAGGACGTCTGTAACACCAGGGGTATCACATGCACGTAGCCATTACTGAAAAAACCTTAATATACCCTTTTTGAATAACCCCATGTTGTACTTTCTAGGGTAAACCTCGGCAGGGAGCTCATTTCACAGCTTGAGTGTTCGTGGGAGAAAATTTCACTGAAACCACATTGTACGTGACCATTTAGGTTCAAACGTAATTAATAGGACCAAGCCCGAAATGAGGACTACTCTTATATATTTCTTTTTATTAATTTATGTTTTTTTTTTAATGTGCCGATTTCTGTTGATCTATTATATATTTGTGGTTTATCTTACATTTCTTAATATACTACTACTCTCCACTGCTTATTTTTCTATCTTCACATAAATCCTAACAAACAATATTCTGTAATTAAGTTAATATGTAATTATACATTATTTTAAATGTGTTTAAAATTAACCTTTTTACATACGATGACATTTGTAGTTTTTTTATAAAAAAGAAAATTGATAAACAATTGAAATAGAACAAAAAATATATACAATACTTCACGTCAACAAACGGCAATTTTTACTTACAAATAATATAATTAATAAATAATAAATAAATAACAAGAACCAGAACATTTTATAAACACAATAAGTGGTCCTTCGAGCCGGACAATGTCTACAAATGTCATCGTCTGTAAAAAGGTTAATTTTAAACAAAATGTACAACAGAAACATTTCTAAATACATACATCACGTGATCATAAGCATTCTAAAAAGAAATAAATGTCATTCTATATAAGAATTTTTTCTTACCTTAACAATCTTAATCGAACTATGATGGTCATTCCAAAATTGAAAATGTCAAATCCGTGCACAAGAAGCACGTGCTAAAGAGGTGCTGAGTAAAATTATCAACGCACTTCCTTTTAATGTATTCAAAAAAACTATTTATTAGTCTTTAATAGATAATAACACTTACAATTAAGATAATTTATTATACAATAAAAACAATATTTAAAACGTTACCTAATATTAATAAATAATAGACAATAAACAAGTAGCCCACAAACAGTACGTTCACACATCGAGCGCAGTAAAAAAGAACAATATAATTCTAGTATTGGAGTATACGCTTAAAATACATTACATAATGGATAATAATATAATACTCAGTACCTCACTAGTATAGCATTATCTGTGGTGCCACTAATAGATCATTCGCTTAGCAGCGACCGCATCCACGGAAGTGGTGCGCCGGCGTGGGTGACGTCACACTGCGCGCGCGCATAAAAACTTTCGCTTTTCACTGCCAAGGCTCCACTTGCATGTTGTTCGCTACTGCAGCTATATTTCCAATTCATCATTCGATTTTTATGTATGTGACCTACTTGTATATGTCTACACAGTGTCTGTAAAAAAATATATATTATTTGTTAACACGCTAATACGTATTTTTTGTTTATTTAGATTTTAGTAATTAAATAATTTAAAATATTATTTAAATAAAAGCACCGACTGAAATGCGATTATTCGAATTAAAAATAAAAAAGTACACAATCGATTTAGATAAAATTTTTATGGGACCAATCTGACGGTACCTACATACATTCTTTCAGATAAAAAAATAATTTTTAAATTGGTTTATAAATGATGGAATTCTGAGGTAACAAATATAAAAAAAATATATATATAACTGAATTGAGAATCCCCTTTTTATTTAAAGTCGGATGACAAATTACTTCGTCTGTGACCAGAATATAACTATATAAAAGTTAATTGAAATTAAACGTATTCTTTCATTCTAAATACTATTAAAATATTACGTTTATTGTGTAAAACAAAATTCATAAAGATTGGTGTCGTGGACCGCTGAGAGGTAACAAACAAACTCGCTTTCATATTTATTTTATTATTTTATTATTACCCCATAATGCCCCACTGCTGGCCAAAAATTTTTCCAATGTCCTTCAAAAACTTCCTGTTCAACGCCATCTCAAACCAGTTCCTATAAAATGCGTCTAGGTCATTATATGTATTAATATTAATACAGTTTTTGTACAAAATTTCATTTAGTTATTCACACGTTACAATCAAATATTTTGCATTAGTAAATACGAGCTATGCCCGTGACTTCGCATGACCCAGTTAACAGTAATCGATGTATTTTTCCATTACGAATACTAGGTATGTGTATGCCAAATTTTAAAAGGTTTAATTAAAATGCCAAGAGCCAACAAACAAACTCACTTTCACATTTATAACGATAATCTAGATTATAAAGAATTGGTAGGATATTATCAAACAAACAAAATATAAAAGAAGAGAAATCAACAGACTAAAATAGAAGTAAGTGATTCACATCGTTTGATGATTCCAAATTTCAATAAAATTTAGTTGTTAAGCTTTATCATAGTAGCTTTTAACCGATCCGCTTTGACTGGGATATGTATACTAATCGAGATAAAAAGAAGCCTATATCTTTCTCCATCCCATATATAATATGACGTGTGTACCAAATTTCATAGTGATTGGTTACGCCCTTTAAGCGTTAAGAGGTAACAAACAAGCAAATAAATATAAATTTGAAAGTGTGTTTCAAATTTATAATATTATTAAGGATTTTTAGTCATTTAGTAATTTATTCACAAAAACAATGTACATTGTGTCTGAAACTGTATATGATTTTTTTTTTAATATTTACATACAAAAAATGCTGTCATAACATTTACATAATATAAACTCTACTGAGTATTATTTATTTATTTTTTATTGATCACATCACAGGAAAATGTTTAGTATTATATGCTATATTCAAAATTTGATATTGCCCAAAACTATCACCGGTAAATATATAATTAAATGTTTTTAAATAATTTTCATTCATTTTCCAAAATAATTTCCGAAGAAACTGGTATAAAGAATTAAATGGTTTTGAATCTTTTTCATATATTTCGTCGTAGTCGTAGAATACTGACGGATCTTAATATGTAATATTTGTCAGATCCCTCAGTATTCTATGACTATGACGAATTATAGTCATAAATTAAAGATAATACCCGTGGTTTTTTTTTTTTTGTGTTTTTAATTAATTAGCGATTAGCGAGCATAGAAAGGAGATTGTGTCGGGGTCGAATCCATATCATCGTATTCCTAAGTTATTTATAATAAAAAGCTTCTGCCATTTCATTTCCTAATTTTGCCCTGCGAAAAACTAAAATCCTTATTATTAAGAGTACTTCTAAAAAATTTTAATTTGTTTATACAATTTTAAATACCAACGTGAGTAAAATTACTATTTTTACTGTAATATTTTTACATAAATGAATATTCGCTGAATATAATTAATATGCTTAGGTTAAGTTGAAAAGTGACTTTATATAAACATTTATTTCACTTTCTAATGTATAAAAAAAAATTGAGTTTTTTATGAGACTTGAAATGGTAAACAAGCTGATGGCGGGTCGTATGGAAAGTTATAACCATCACCTTTACATTGCAATAACAGAATCACGAATATTATAAATATACACCTTGACGTTCATGGTATCTTTACCATAATTTATACTTTTAAAATATTTTTTTTAGATTATTTATTTATACCTTATTGTATGCATTGATAATACATAAAAATATGAGAGAGGTTAACTTATTCATATAGGTTTTTTGTATATATTTTGCTATAATTATTTTTTTATTTGTCTACCAGGTCTGGGCGTTCGTCTTCTGTCTGTCTACATCGATAGCGGCGCCAGTGCAGCAACCTGCGCCGCTAGTTCTGGACATCATAGACATGGCAGCCATCAGCAGGATGTCACCGCAACAATTAGAAATATTAGCGGAGGGGTTAGCGGCTGAAGAAATTATGAGGTAAATTTATTACGAGTACTTTACAGTATAAACTACTAGCCCAGGCTTCGCACGGGAAGATATGTTTCACTTTAAAAAAAAATAGCTTAAATTACTGGCTGATAATTTAGCTGATAATGGGTGGCAAGGGATGGGGAAGTATCCCGTTAGGTTAACGACGGTTTCCCTTGAAAACCATCGTACTTCATTCCTGCTTTCATTTTCACCTACCACCCCTCACTGGTACCTCGCCAGTATATATATATATATATATATATATATAGTAGGGTCACTATTACATTTCCATAAACTCTCTGTAGGTAAAAAGAATTTTAAAAATTGGTGTAGTATTTTTAAGTGTTACAACCAAAAAACCAAATCTTTAGTCTTTAATATTATTAGTTTACATATATTTATCTATTTCATCCTATTTTATCTATTTAAGCATTTTAATTATTATCTGTTTTATTTTTACCTGACTGCCAATAAAAGGAGCGTGATGTTTTTTATTATGTCAATTATTTTAATTAGCTAATAAATATATTTTAACTAGAACGAAGAGATCATCAGCTCAAGCGCTAACGTCAGTGGTGTCTAAAGCATCATCAGCATCAAGTTTGCAAGGCAAGATTGGTCTGCTGGGACAAGCTTCTGCCGGTGCTGCTACCCTGATCGCGTCAGCGTCCAGCAAAACAGGTCACGACAGTCACGACCACGGATATTCATATGAACCGGTAAGACTTTTATATAAGAACATTTTATTGCAGTATATTTTGATAGAATTTATTAATAATTTAAATATATTAATTAGTTAATAGACCATATGTTAGTTTGTTGATGTCCAACAGTAGTTGGTACAAATAAAAAATCTAATAGTTGATTCAGACTATAATTGTCTCAAAATGTTCTTGTGATAACTTCGACAAAACTTGATTATCGCTTCATTAAGTACTATTGGAATAGACTATATATGACTGCCCAAAACTGTGCTGTGCTGAAAGCTCTTTATTTAAATTTATCTATCTATCCTATTCACGAGTTAGAGCAGCCCTCTTGTCGGTGGAGCTCTTGCCACTCACTAAGATTTTCAGCGAGTCTCTTCACTCTCTTTTTATTTCAATATAACTTCTAAATGCTTGAATAGATTTGCATGTATTTATTGGGTATCATTAGAATTCTTGTATCATCCTGAGTAATACTGGCTACTAATATTTTGAAAAAAGAATTCAATATGACGTCTGTATGTCTTTATTTAAGAAGCAAAAAAAAAAAAAAAAATTGCCAGAATAGTCGTATTTCTAAATTTAAAAACATGTTTTTTTACGTTAAACAAAATTTTAATAATTACGATATTCTTTGTAACTTGATTAATAGTATGCATCAAATATTACAAGGGTCTTTGAATAATTTCCGTTATCAGATTTACGTAACGGAAATTTAATATACTTATGTAAGTATTATAAATAAATATATTAAATGGAAATGATCATCATCAATTTAGCTGTTACTTGTCTACTGCTTGAATTCTCTTCCATTGAAGTAACGGCCTTGAGCACAACGTACCTTTATAATCGTTCTCTTTTTTATATTTTGAACATTTTTTTACGTTAATTTAGCTGTCATATTATTTATCTTTTTTTTTTCTTTAATTTTTTTTTTAATTATATTACTATCCTAAGACACAATGTTTCTGTACCAGTCTATACCTTCTTACAACCTTCTTTCCCCCACAGTTATAAGCCATTCGAATTTACTGATTCTCTGCAACATATCCAAGACCATATAAAAAATCTATGCCTAACCACTATTGTAGAGTTCATCTTACATTGTATTTGTCTATATAGATTAATTTAAAGCTCTTTTTTCACCATCAGTATTATTTAAACTATACTTATATAATTATCTTTCTAATACTTGGAACTGTGTCGTTTACTCTCATTCTTCTGCGGATATTTTTATTTCCAATTTTACTACTCAGTCTATTGTCTTATCCACAGTTCCATAAGTAAAAAGTAGTAGAGATCTAACTAAGGTGCGGCTCGCTTCGAACTTCTGGTCCTAGAGGGCCTTCAAATGCTTCTAAAACCTACCTTTTATTTTATACTAATTCGGTTTTTGAAGATCGATGATTCGTATTTTATTTTCCTATGTATGTTTATGTAAGTCAAATTTAAATTTCTCTTGCAAGATTTTAACTAAATAAACATAAACACTTATACTTAATGTGAAATGAATAAACATTTTGTAAAATTGCATCAACTTGTTAAACCATAGTGATTAATTATTTGAATTCTTTGCATTAATTTTAATGACAAATATATTTAATGATAGGCGGTGATCAGGATTAATCAATGAAACTTGAAAGTTCATAGAAACTTGATTTTAAAACTATTTTAAGTCATTGTAATCAAAAGGACAAAATTTAAGGTTAAAAGTGATTTATTCTAAGCAAATTTTGGATAGAGAGAAGAGTTAAATACAAGCCTTCAAACAAAATATGAGACATTTCTTCATTACCTTCTGCTATTTTTATGCTAAAGACATACGAATCCAATGTCTTTTTATTTTCGCAATGTCTAGAATATGCTAAATGCTTCATTAGACTAAATATTTTAAAACTGTTGTGTAAAGTCTGGGAGGTATGTCTAACATTTCAAAAGGTTTGAGTCACACTCTTAGCCACCTAATAAATATCTGAAAAGACATACAATTACACAATATTTTGTAACCACAGGCCAATTACCTATTTTATTATAATTTTATCCCTATAATATGGTTAGAAGTGATTAAAAGAACAAAGGTAATACACTGTATAAGAAAGGAAAACCTCGAAATAAAATTCTGTACCAAACTACACTTAAATTAACAAATGAGTTCATACAATCAAATTAATTACATCATTTTTAAAATATATAATATTGTACTAATAATATACTAATATATTTTTCTCGTACAGAGAGTTATTGGTACACTATTTATATTTTACTATTTGCTGTAGTAAATAATCATACTAATATAATAAAACTGTAACTTGCCGATGTCTGTACATGAGAATTAAGAAAAATTGTTGTGAGAGATCATTACAAGAGCCATATCTATGTGTCTGTTTATCTATATATGTGTATATTTGTGTGTATGTCCAGCATAACGTATAGACTACTGTAATTATAATAAAATTAATATAATAGAATAAATAAAATAAAATATTTTATATTATAATAATTTCTCCGCAGCATGAAGAAAAATATGACTACTGGGGGCTGAAGAAGTCTATCCTATATACATTATTCCAAGCAGTGAAGGCGATCACTGGAGGTGTGACCATCTTGAAAGGTCAACTCATAAAGGGCGGTGGAGCTCTAGCGAGCACCCTGGGAAAGGTGATATCGGTCAAGGGCGACGCTGTTAGTCACCTTGGCAAGAAAATCGTCAGCTCGGCTGCATTGGTTGAAAAGAAACCTTGTAAGTATCTACCAACTTAATCATCTTTTATTTATCAGATGTATCAATTATCAATTGCTGGCATAGACCCTATTGAGGGGTTTTGCCTGTAGGTGCCATGCTTTGCATGCAGATTGGAAACCGTAGTTAGGTTTTATTTAGTGTATTTTAAAGAACTCTGTTGTCCATCTCTTGACCATTTCCTTAATCGCCTCTTATGACAGCCATGGGAAAAAAGGGAAATATACCAACTTAATATTTTTTGCTAATAAATAAGAGATCTTTGTGGACAATTCTTCATTTGATGACGAGATAAGAATAAAAGGGCTGCTATATAATATTACCAGTTGACAGTGTATTTCCACCGTTTTTTTTAATAGATTGAAATCATCTTTAAAATTTATAACCTTGTTTACGAGTACTTTTAAATCATCGTTATTATTCAAATAAATGGTAAATCGATATACATTATTAGTGGATATTGGTTGGTTAAGTAAGGAATTATAGGTGAGAGTAAAAGCTTGTTAATCGATCCATCGTGCAAAAATCATTAGCAAAACATCATGACGGTTTCCAGGAGGAAAGTCGAATTAAAAAAGGCTTATAAGTAATACAGTACATATAAACAATGTCATTAGACTCCACTATTAGCAATAATATGCACCTATAATGGGTTATTAAAAGATTTAGTAGTAAAACGTGTCGCCCTAAACGTACTATTAGAATGCCAGCTCGCTTCGTGAATAAGTCGTAAGTTAGTCATTCGATTTATCAACGGAGCACGAGATTGGACTAGTCCCACGTTGGGCGCCAAATATAGCTACCAAATACGTCTAATGGTGCATTTAGGGCGACTCGTTATGTTAGCTAATATATTTAAAATGCAGGGAACATCTAAAAAGCCAAATATTGCTATATAGTTGTATAAAGTATTTTTTTTTTGTCTTTGCTCTGAATCATTAAACAAAAATGATAATGGTGACATTTTGAGCTCTTTTGAATTACTTAATATTAATTAGTTGCAATAAAATTACTTTACTATTATATTATTCACTTCCTTTGCGAGAAACCAAAGTCCTGTCATAAAGTTTACTATGTTTAATTCATAGACCGTCATTGAATCTCTCTAAAGATTTAGTAATTACTGATTAATAAGTAATATATTTCTGTTGAAATTATGTCGATACAGTGTGTTCAAAGGATAGAAAATAATATAAACGGCGATTACAAATAATATAAACTGTTTATTAGTCGATATGAACATTTTATGATACCTATATAATTTACCTTTATAATTTCTAGGTATCTAATATAAAATTTGAAATAGCGGTTTAAATTTTTCTAAAATATTTACAGTATCTGTAACCTAAATTTTTTAGATATACTATGTTATTCATAAATATAAAGTTCTAATAAGACATATTTTTATAATAAAACCATGACATATAAAAAAGTATTATTTATGTAAATTATATTAATCTTTATATTATTTTTATCAGGATTATTTATTATTTTAATTAATAGACTTTCAAAAGGAAGTTGACTACATTTTTTTTTTGTAACTGTGTTACGCGGTTACCTTGCCAATTCCGAATCAATTTCCAATTGATTTCATATAGATATTTCTGTCAGGTGTTTAGTAGCCAAAGCACAATATATAGCACACTTTAGAGATATATAGAATACTATGCATATATGTATTTGAAATAATTTCTTTCGCATTTCTTTATCATATTTTACGCTGTTTCATGTTCGATGGCCCTACTGAAAATATGGGTATTAATAAAAACTACATTATATGCCTAGTCCCATTTGGTATTCACTGAAGGGTATGTAATGTTAAATAGTCAATAAATATTTTTTATTTTGTATTCCTATGTAAAATATACTCGTATATAATAAATACTTTTTTAATCTATTCTAACAACAACAACACGGTCTTCTCTTGCCCGTCGGATGATGTGTGGGCGGGCGAGGTAGAGGCCTCGGGGCGTACCCCATTACGCCGACTTCTACTCCGGAGGCGACGACCTCCGGGTCACAGGGTTTTCAGCCGGCATATAATCTATTCTGCAATCTTTACTTACATATTTTGGGGCTAGATGGCGCTGTGCAATATGTGAAATGGTATTTATTTATTTAATAATATTCAGCAGGACACGTGTACGGTCCACCACCCGCGCCGCCCGCGCACGTTGAGTACGGCCCCCCAACTGGATACGGTGCACCCACCGCGCCTGCGCACTTCACGCACACCGGCCCCGCCGCGCCGACAGGGTTCGCTGCACACAAATATCCAGCTCATTTGGACGGTAAGTGTCAAAATACGATAATAATAACGTTGTCGTGTCACACCAGTCACCAGAGGAAGACTGTATAATAAGTTGTCTGCTGGATATCTTTGTCTCACTCGTATTTCTGTCATGATGTAGCTGTACTGGTATGACTGTGATTCAGTTTAAAAAGTGGGATAATTATGGCAGTGATATTATAGGGTGCCGAGGGGTAACACCATAGTCCTCAGGAATCGAAACACGTGAGAATATCATGGCGTTACAGAGTATTCTGTGATCTTTGAGTATTCTTTCATCTGTAGAAAACGGTCTATCCATCCTGCGGTTAGCTTGTTTATTAAATAAAAAAAGTTCTATGGACTCGTCTCCCGGTGAGTTGTATTATAAATTCTAAGAGAACGTTTTAATTAAGCGTAAATGTGGATAAAGATAAAGGCAGAGAAAGACCTAAAAGATATAAATCTGACTGTGCCTAAAAAACTCTCAAATATAATATGGCTATGAATGAAAGGGACAAATATATTACGTCGACCACAAATAGATGGGATAAGGGCTGGGAAATGATAATGTGTGAGGCTGTGTATTTCAACAACGCGCATGCGTTTAGCTATTTTGTGGGTTTTGTCATGACGTGACTGCAATTTACGCGGCATTGTTTTTTTTAAGAGGTTAAAAAATTATAAAGAAGAGACAAATATAGAGATAAATTAGTCCGCAGACAAATTATCACTTGTCTGTGCAGGTAATAAAAAAAAATTGTTTTTTTTTTTCACTGTAACAATCAATATAAATCAGTTAATAAAAATACGCACATAATATCTATTATTTGTGTATTATTACTAAGACATATTTGTAATTAAACATACAATTTCAACATATGTGTTACATCACACTTACATAGCAACATTTGTAAGTATATCAATAATGAGTCGTCACATATAATGCACACAATCATATATATATATATATATATATATATATATATATATATTATATTTTATTTTAAAAAAAAACGATCAAGTAAATAAACTATGACACCAAAGATAGTGATGAAATGGTTCCCGCGTCACACATATATGTCGGACATTCTATAGCGGATAGAGGTATAAATATATCTAAATAATCATAGAACCGAATAGAAGTAATCGTCATTCAAATGGACTTGGTTACAAATCTTTTTTAAATCATTAACATTTTACGATTGTACTTCTAGGTTCTAGATTGTTATCAATCATCATTTCAGCCATTATCTGCCCACCATAGGACATAGGTCTCCCATTATCGTGTACAAGATAATTTTGCATTTTCATGGGTACTGCGACAATTAGAATTAAATTCTATTGATATGTATTATTAAATGGAATATAAACAAGCAAACGAGCAGACTAGTCCCCATAAGCAGCATTCGTTCACTAGCATGATGATTACGATTTACATAGCTCCATCATCATATCAGCTGTTAATTGTCCACTGTTGAACATAGGTCTCCCCATAAAAGAGGGTTTTGTCAGTTATTGCCACGCTTGGCAGGCGGGTTGGCAATCACAGTTAGGCTTTAGTTGATATTTTAAAAGGGATGTTACTGCCCATCCCTCGATCATTAAGTTCCCTTAGTCGCCTCTTACAGCATGCATAGGAAAGAAAAGGATGGTCCATTTTATACCAGAACTACATGGTAACTTAATATACTATACATTTACGTAGTATATGATTGTCCAATTTTGTACATAAATTATATATGAATGTCCATTAAATAATACTCATTGTTTCCTAATTAAATAAGTGTAAGTACTCTATTCATCGACACTTGTTAGGAAATGTGACATACACTCAACTATTACGTATTATTGTTATTATTATAGACAATTTTCTATTAGTTCCGTAACAATATAGGTGGTCATATAGTGTAAATTAGTTTGTTACAAAAACATGTCCATATAACGTAATATCAATAACGTCATAAAACAAGAATGAATTGAATGTGTTACGTAACCAATGTTGTTATTTTACGGGCTGGTTGTCACATTTTTTACGGATGAGAATGGAGTGGCAATCATATCTGTGCTGTTGGTATAACGCTGGCGACACACCAGTGAGAGATGATAGAGATAACGATGGAGTTATATCAGTTAACCCATTGTGACGATTACACTAGGAGTTTTTTTTAAATGAATGTTAATGGAATGGTAACCTTGCCTGCGCTATCGGTATATGCTAGTGGGGCACCAGTAATAGATGATAAGCAAGAATAAAGGCAGGTCAGTTAGTCCATCGTCATGAATTCGACAAGAATTAACCACGATGTTTTTTCCGGAAGAAAAACGTGGAAATCGATCTGATAAGGTATATTTCTAGTGGTGGAGTTGTTTGTACCCATTACTATCAATCTTCTTCTCTTTTTACTAGGAGTTAAGCATGATAGTTTACAGGAACGGAGGTGGGGAGAAAAAACCGCGTAGAGATAGGATACCATAGGGTACATAACTAGCAATAGGATCGCTAGATCCAATTACAAATACTAACAATCCTTTCACTTTTACCTGCATTATATTATATAAGGATGTATATTTCATAATATACAAGTAATACATAATGTACAAGGTATACACTATATTAGTAAGGAATAAACAAACAAAAATGAACTTAATGTACCTAACACTACGTTCATTATCGTTCGTTATAAATATATTTTATTGTTTAAACGTAGATAATTTAGTAAGTGAATAATGAATATTATAATTATTCAAATATTAAACTCACAATTAAAATATTATTTAATATTTTAATTGTGGGTTACCATTAGTGATAATTTCAAATGAAATATTACTCTCTTTTTAACAATTCTATTGTTTCATGTGAATGGTTTTTATGATAAATTTAACAATGCCCAAGCACACATTTAAAATGTGTAGAACAATTAAAATATTTTTGTTCAACATAATTGTAAATGTTTTATTTTTTTTATATTTGTAGGTTGTTACTATATTTTAATCGCGGTTTATTAATTGTAATTTTGTTGAATAATGGCTTTGATTATAATTATTTTACAACTAGTTGGTAGTAAAGGATATAACAAAGTTTCATCAAAATGAACTGAAATGATATATGAGGGTAAGTTTTTTTTTATACAACTTAGAATAGCAAACAAGCTGACGGCCCACCTGATGGAAAGTGGTAACCGTCGCCTATAGACATGAGCAGTACCATGGACATAACAGTAACACATACTGTTTCGCCCATGATACCCCCCATGCGTTGCCATTCCTGAAAACTCAGATGTTATTCCTCTGTACCCTGTAAATTCACGCTATATCCCATCTTTCAAACCGAAACACAGCCATGCAAACACAACTGCTTCACGGTAGAAACAGGAATGGGACAGAGGTGTCCAAGCAATCGACTTTTGTACAAAGTCTCCCTCTGGAATATATGTATTATATATTTATCCCAAAAAAAAAATGTGATTTATTAAATTACAAAAATGTTAAGCTTCATATATCTTCTAATACAGCACGGTCATCTGGGAAATTAATGTGGGAGGCTCAACTTTTTTCTCATTATTAGACAAATCTTCAATTTCGTTGATGAACATTTTTTTTTAAATTATGTTAAAGCTTTCGATTTCACCCTGTATAATTTTTAGTGGCACGTTGTATTGTTACCACACGGAGAGAATAATGTCAACATGTAAATAATTTGTAATAGTAAAATATGCAAGTTTTTATGTAAGTAGAGACAGTAAATGAATAGGCCCCAAAAGTGGGACGGACCGTGACGCAACGCGAGGTTAAAGTTCCCAAAACATTTGGATGTGCGCCGGAACCAAAGCGCCGGTAACGTAATACGCGCCTTTGAGCTTACACAATCGGTAAAAGGAACTAACGGAGCTGTGAACTAGTTCAGTATAAATTATTATATGTTTTTAAAGATGACACAGATTGGGGAGTGATTGCTTCAGTGCGATGTAGGATTTTCCTGTTTATAGTATCCGGTAATACGTATCTTTGAAATACATCGTATATATATTTATCCACTACTTGTGACTCCTTGTGAAAAATATAAGCAGTTTCACTCGAGATAATGTAAACATTCTAACGATATCTCACACACCCAAATCTGGGGGAAAGGGATTGTTAGTAATGGGGTATAAAAATCCCATTCTTTTTATCGACTCGATGGGAAAACAGTTAGCAGTAGTAGAAAGTCGACCTATTAGGTGACTAATAGGATATTTATTACATCGATTTCTATGTGGTTCCCCCTGGAAACCATCATGGTTAATTCTTGTTGAATTCGTCATATTGTGACAACAAACTTGCGTTCCATTCTCACTTATCATTTCTCATTTCTGCTCTACCAGTGTTTACTGATAGCGTAGACGGGGTTAACATTCGAAGGAATGATTCAGCCATTAAAGAATATCCAAATCTGTTTAGGCATTTCGAAAATTATGGTGGAATAAGAAGCCCACATATACGAGTACATCCAACCTATAAATATTACACTCCTTATTTGGACAGTCGTGTAATTAATTATATATAGGTAATAAGCATATTAGGTATCATAATTGCACACATGCGCGTAATACAAGGAAAATACCATTTACCTAATCCTAAAATTTGTGAGATAACTTTAGAAAATCATGTTTCAAATTTAATGTCTCGGAAAATTAAATAAACGATTATAGACTACTCTGACATTCTTAAATAAATGAAAAATGTGTTTACCGATAAGTATATTGTTACTACTGCATGTAAAAAATTGGACGAGATAACAAGGTCCGATGTCTTGCACTGACCAGTAGGCTTGTAACTCGTCTGCCTTTTGTCTAGAGGGACCGCCTACCCAAACTAAGTCACGGACGCAGTTATTTAGATAAAGAGACCGATTTTAAGATTACCAAAATTAGCATAAAACCATTTTGAAAGTAACTTGTATTAATAAAAAAAATTGTATTCAAAACGGCCTAGAAATCGATATATCTTTTTATGTATCATATAAAAAAAACTATAAAAACA